AATGCCCTGTTCTCTCATTGCTGGACATTCACGCTCCACTTCCTGAACACTGTCACTGGTTAACTTCCAGAATATGTGTTGCTTTCATGTGAGTGCTATATATTCACCTTTAGTTCTTTTTCTAGAGCTGCTCGCCACCCACCTCCTCCTGTTCAATCTTTACATTAGCACTTTCCAGTTTTATATGTTCCCTATAGTTTTGGTGACAGAGTTAAAGAACATGTCGGCATTTTTTTTTCTTTTCTCTTCTGCCTACTAGAATCCTTTCCCAAACCACACCTCAATCACTTCAACATTCTGTCAAGGAATTGATTTCTCTGCCTCAGAACTGACTTTTCTTACTTCATTTACTCACCTACTTTCCCGTTCACGCATGTCTCCACATCTCCAGAGAAACAGTCAGCAGGTTGACTGTTGGTGTTTCCCACAGCGAGAGCCTGCCCTCCTACTTCCTCACACCATTCTTGTCAACAACAGGAGACCAAGTTCTGGACTTTTATACGGCGCTTTGCACCACCCAACACATTGGAATCCCTTAACTGTGCCACCTCTTGACACTTTCTCACAAGTTCATGCTTCCACCACTCCACAATTTTTCAATTCGACCAGTTAAAACCACACTTTATTGTCAAGAAGTTTCCTTCCGTCTTGAAGTCATTCAGAAAGACTTCCCTCGGGGCTGGAGTGATAGCACAGTGGGTAGGGTGTTTGCCTTGCACACGACTGACCCGGGTTCAATTCCCAGCTTCCCATATGGTCCCCTGAGCACTGCCAGGAGTAAGTGCAGAGCCAGGAGTAGCCCCTGTGTATCGCCAGCAGTGACTCAAAAAGAAAAAATAAAACAGAAAGACTTCCCTCTCAAAATCAGGGGCCCCATTCAAGCTGCTTGCTATTCTCACAAACTTGCTGAGGGTCGGCCTCATCCATCCCCAGGACCTACACTGCGGGGTGGGCTGGGGTACAGGCCTCCTGCCCGCTGGCCTTAGGTCAAAGCTGCTCCTTTTGCCAACCTGGCTACACTTCTTTCCCTGTTCCTCTCTTCTTGGTCTCGGGGCTGCTCCTTTGAAACTGGGGCTTTCCACATCTTCAACGTTCTCTTTCACTCCCTCAGCAAATTGCACTGTGACCTGTACTTGGGCACGTCATCCCCTGGAACTACACCCACTACAACTCCCTGCTTGCTGCGGTCCTGGCCCCATCTGCCTGCACCCGGATCGAAGAGAGCAGGCCAATGCTTCAGTCAACATTTCTCTCAGTTATTCGGCCTGTCCTAGCTGCCTTGTCTTTGGGCCCAGCTGGATTCTGTGGTTGGTGTCCAGAATTGCTCTTCTGCTACCAGTCTCAGCTGCCCCTGAGCAAACCTTTGCCTGGACTCGCTGATAGCAAATCTGCTTCCTCAGCAACCCCCTGCTTCCTCTGACTCTACTCTCTTGACTATGAAGTTCTAGATTGTGGCTTAGGAGTCACTGTGATCTCAATTTTACAACTCGGTGGCAAGTGCCAGACGCAGCCATCCACTCCTGACCTGGCCTTCTCTGCACCTTTCCATGTATCTTTGTAGGATGAATGAAATGAAAACCTTGAGGTCTGATGATAAGCGATTACATTTTTTATATTTATGTATTTTATTATTTTATTATTTATTATAATCATTTATCATAATCATAATTACATGATATGCATTGTAATTATATAAATATATAATTATTAAGTCTATCATTACTTATTGTTATTTATTATTATTTATATATTATTACATAGTAATACAATTGGTATTAGGTTTGAAGTATCCCATAACAAATATTTTTGATGTCATGTTATGAAAGCAAAAGCTTACAAAATAGTAGTATTAAACACATTATCTTAATATTGGCAGTACCTCACTCATTTATTTTGTGAACTCACAAGGAAAATATGTACTCGATAAATTTCTTTCATCATTATAAGCGATTACTTTTTAAATGCTTTTGGATGGTCTGGAGAGAGAGAGTATGGGAGAAAACGCACCTGCCTTGCATGGGTTGCACTGGCTGCGTCCCTAGCTCAGATTCCCAGAACCACATAGGTTGGTCGCATGGAGTGACCCATGAACACCATCAGGACTCACTTCTGAGCACTGCGCCAGCTGTGGCCCCAATCCCTCCCTCAAAAATGCCTTCAGATATGTTCTTTTATTCACAAGATAACCTATGGGACAGACACCCAAGAATTTTGCGGCTAAACCTTTCAAATTGAGTTTCTGGGGTTATGTGCCTTAGGTTCTCACCATCACCAAAGGGTAGATACGATGAGTTGCCATTGTCATCAGCTGAGCATATTTTCTCAGAGCCCATCAGAAATGTCTGCGTTGTGCTCAATTTAACATGCTAATTGTGGAAATGGCACATTCGTTGCAAAAGAGAGCTGGAGTACTGCTGTGAAGGCAGAGGTCGCCTCAGGATCGATTTTCTAAACATAGCCTTCTAAGAACAAACTTGAAGGTTGCAACTAGTGGCTCAAAAGAGAAATGATTCCAATAGACGAGATGCAGAGATGGGAATGTAAATCACCACAAACATTTTGGGGAAATGTTATGGAGCTGATATCAAGTAAATTAGCTATAATCAAAAGTCTAGCTTCTTGGGGCTGGAGTGATAGCATAGCGGGTAGGGCGTTTGCCTTGCACGCTGCCAACCCGGGTTCAATTCCCAGCATCCCATGTGGTCCCCTGAGCACCTTCAGGAGTGATTCCTGAGTGCATGAGCCAGGAGTAACCCCTGTGCATCGCCGGGTGTGATCCAAAAAGCTAAAAAAAAAAAAAAGGGCTGAAGCCCATTTCTGGACATCTATCCCCAAAGAATATGAAAATATTAACACAGAAAGTTATATATATATATATGTATATATGTTCCAAGGTTTATTATAGCATAATTTACAAAAGCTTCAACTTGGAAACAGCAGAAGGTGCTGAGAGATGGATGTTTGGATAAAAAAGACGTGGTTCCGATTACATGAGGAAATGTCATATAAGAACATTTTAAAAGATAAAACCAGCCGGGTATCCTAGAGGAAAGGGCAGTTCAGATAGAGAATGGAGCACCAAATAAAGGATGTTTGGAGGATCCTCCCAGGAGGGGAGATGCATGTCGAAAGTAGACTATGGACTGAACATGTTTGCCACTCAATGCCTCTTTTGCAGACCACAACACCCAAAAGGAGAGAGAGAACACAGGGGATTGCCCTGCCACAGAGACAGGGGGGATGGGGGGATGGGGGTGGGAAAATGGGCACTGGTGGAGGGATGGGTATCTGATCATTGTATAATTGAAACCAAAGCACAAAATTGTAAATCTACAACTTTAAAAAAAAATAAAATAAAATAAAGGGGAAAAAAAAAAAGATAAAACCTTTGTCATTCCCAGCAAAATGGAAAGGAGTGTGAAGGACTGATGCAAACTGAAGTCAGAAGAAAAAAGACAAGTATTTGGACTATTGCACCCCCGTGTACACTGTAAGGAGTGGTCAGAACAAAATAAATAGACAAACCAGTTGGTATCGGTAGCAGAACTGAGGTGACTTGAGAAGAGGATGGTGTGAGGGGGTCAGCTCGGGAGAGAAAAGCAAACAAGGCAGCAGATGCAGAGCCAGCCAGGCTGCTGTGCGCCCTCTGTGTGAACTCACACGAGCCAAGTGCAGAAAATAAGGAGGGGCAGGAACGTCGGAGGAGCAACCGAGTTCATATGGCGAAGCAGGGTCAGGAAGAGAACAATCGGGAATGATCTATGGGGAACGCCTCCAAGCATAAATAGTGTGCAGTGAAAGAGAGACTTGGTGTGGCCAGGCTCACTTTTTGTTTTTGCTTTATTAGAAGGGTACCAGAGATCAAATTTGGTGCCTCAGACATGTGAGGCAGGCATACTAGCACAGCTCAATTCCTGCCATCATGCCCACTTTCGAGCAAAATAAAAATAAAATAAAATAGACTGTTTCTGCCCCTGTCTCGTGGCATTCTAGACATTTAGGTTCGTTGGCTTATGATTGTTTGGGGTCACACCTGGTGATGCTCAGAGCTTACCTGTGGTTCTGCACTCAAGAATCCCTCACGGGGCTGGAGCAATAGCACAGCGGGTAGGGTGTTTGCCTTGCACGCAGCCGACACGGGTTCGATACCCAGCATCCCATATGGTCCCCTGAGCACCACCAGGGGTAACTCCTGAGTGCAGAGCCAGGAGTAACCCCTGTGCATTGCCGGGTATGACCCAAAAAGCAAAAAAAAAAAAAATCCCTCCCGGCAGTGCTCAGGGGACCATATGGTGCTGGGGATCAAACCTAGGCCGGCTATATTGCAGATCATAATGCTCAAAAAGGGAGAGGGAGAATGAGAGGGAGAGGAAGAGGGAGAGAGAGAGAGAGAGAGAAGAAAAGTGCCTGCCATGAGGTAGGCTGGGAGTAGGGAAGCTGGAGGGAAACTGTGAACATTGGTGGTGGGGGACATACACTGAGTTAGGGATGGGTGTTGGAACATTGCATGACTGAAACCCAATCATGAACAATTTTGTAACTCTGAATCTCACGGTGATTCAATGAAAAAAAGAAAAGAAATTTTAAAAAGTTGAATGGATACCCAAGTTAACTCCCATAAGTATAATAAAATCTCTATTCATAGATAAAAGAACAAAAACCTGGGTTGGCCACATGAAAGTCAAGTGCCTTACCTGCTCTATTATCCTTAGAGATTTAGGATCTATTAAAGATCATACAAACAGTTAGGCACAAATACTAATGGGAAGAAGGATGACATTGATATTGAACAAGGTTCAAATTTTTAAAAAATAGTTTTTTGAGATATATGTAAATGAAAGTAAAAGATATCCCTCTAAGGATCTTTGAATTTTTTGGATAAAACTGTCATATTACCTCTGTATTTGTGCATATCCTTACTATAAGCAAATTTTTTAAATCTGCCCTAGAACCGCTCTCTCCCAACAAAATTGCAAGTATTTAGCAAAAGAATCATTTACCTTATAGAAGATCAAAAACAGATCATCAAGTTTCCCATGCAAATCACCTGAAATGTAAATGAAAAAAATAACTATTTAGTAGGGAGTCGGGATGGGGGATGGGGTGGGAGGAAGAGCTTGTTTCATTAGAAATTTTAAAACAGAAATACTGCTGATATACTCTAAGCATTTTCAGAGCATCAGGCTTTTACCCTATGGTGACATTAATTCAACAATGATTTTCCATAGTACTCATTCCCTTTCTTCTAGGGAACAGAATTCCATATTACAGTGCTGTTCACTGCTGCCATTTCAGCAGTGTTTATTTTGTTCTGTTCAAAGCATTGCATTAAGGGTTTATGTGAACTGTCTTGTTCAATACTGACAGTCACTTCATTATTTCAGTATTATTTTCATCATTCTCATTTTGCAAATGAAGTCAAAGTAGTTAAAAAAAATATCAGAGTTGGAATTCAAATCCAACTTTTGTCTCCCTTCAAATCTCAAGTTTGGAGTAATTATCTTATACTTCCTATACAGTCCTTTCTAGGGAAGAAGCAAGAGCATTGATTTTAGTTACCATTAAACCCTCACTACCCAGTGCATCGTATATACTCAGAAAATTTGTTTAATTTCTAAATGCATTGCTTTTTAATGGTTTGTTTGCATTATTTATTTATTTATTTATTTATTTATTTATAGCACAGCGGTAGGGCGTTTGCCTTGCACGCAGCCAACATGGCCGACCCGAGTTCAATTCCTCCGCCCCTCTCGGAGAGCCCAGCAAGCTACCGAGAGTATCTCGCCCGCATGGCAGAGCCTGGCAAGCTACCCATGATGTATTCGATATGCCAAACACAGTAACAAGTCTCACAATGTTACTGGGCCCGCTCGAGCAAATCAATGAACAACAGGAGGGCCTTTGCCTTTTGCCTTTATAAAATCTATTATCCTTTATTGATATTAAAAATCTTTTTTGCTTTTACAATAGAAACAAAGAACATGAGAACTGGTAGTAGAATTTGTGATGTCACACCATCCGAGGGGTTTGGGGGAGAGGACAGAAGTGGGCAATGACTATAGTGGAGGGAAGATCAAACAGCAGGAGGAGGCAGTGCTGAAAGGTGGTGAGGTGTTTGGTATGAAACCCTATTGGCAACAGTACAGGAAACCACAGTGCCCTGCCACAGAGGCGGGGGGGGGGGGGGAGAGGATGAGAGGGATACTGGGATCAGTGGTGGTGGAAAATGGGCACTGGTGGAGGGATGGGTACTCGAACATTGTATAATTGAAACCCAAGCACAAAAATTTGTAAGTCTAAACCTGTACCTCATGGTGTTTCACTAATTAAAAAAAATTTTTAATGTATATATTTTTAAAAAGTGGCCCTTGTAAAGCAGACTGGTGGGTCAGAGGCAAAGTGGGGGAAAGGGATTCGTTGGTGGAGGAAAGAGGGTACTGTTAAAGGGATCCATGTTGATGGGGGCTGGAGAAATAGCACAGCGGGTAGGGCGTTTGCCTTGCACGTGGCCGGCCCGGGTTCAATTCCCAGCATCCCATATGGTCCCCCGAGCACCACCAGGTGCATAAGCCAGGAGTAACCCCTGTGCATCACTGGGTGTGACCAAAAAGAAAAAAAGGAATCTGTGTTGAAACAATGTATGCTGGAAACCCAATCATGAGTAACTTTTAATTTCATGGTGACTAATAAAAAATAAAATTTTTAAGTAAAAAAAAATAGAAGAAGAATGAGAATTTTCTTTTCTTTTTTGAAGAGGAGGTCTGGGTTGGGGGGCCACACCTGACAGTGCTTAGGGGCTATACTCCTGGCCTTGGCTCAGGAGTGATCCCTGATGGTGCTCAGGGGACCAGGAGGTACCAGAGATATGAACTGGGAATGGAGGGATGCAAGGAGAACGCTTTAACCCCCATAGTATCCGGCTGGTCCCTAAAGTCACGTTTTAAAGAATATGTTGTAGCAGTAGCATCTAAAATAATTCAATGGTAAGTGACAATAGTGACATTCTTTTAATGAGATAGTCGTAGGAAATTGAGATAAAAGTCTAGCATTGTAAAATTCAGCTACGAGAAACAATATGAATATATGAATCCATTAATTTAAAAAGAGTGAATATATAAGTATTTAAAACACAATTTGAGGGGCTGGAGCAATAGCACATTTTGCCTTGCACACGTTTGCCTTGCACGTGGCCGACCCGGGTTCGATTCCCAGCATCCATCCCATATGGTCCCCTGAGCATCGCCAGAGGTGATCCCTGAGTGCAGAGCCAGGAGTAACCCCTGTGCATTGCCGGGTGTGACCCAAAAAGCAAAAAATAAAATAAAATAAAAAAATAAATAAAACACAATTTGAATAACTTTCTAGGTAAAACATTTGTCTTTCATAATTTCAAATTGTCTTTCAATTTTTCACTTGTATCTGACCATATTAATATTCTTTTATTTTATTTGTGCATTTATTTTAGTACTGGACTTCATACATGCAAGGCATGTTCTCTACCACTTGCCACATCCCTGATACCAGAGCATAAGGTTTTGTTTGTGTCCAACATAATTATCAAATAGATTAATTTATGAATTCCTTTTCTTAATTTGCTTAAAATATCCCAACCAAAATTAATCAAATAAATGCAACAGAAGGTTTCAGTTTTAATGGTAGCAATACAAGTAAAATCCTAGTTCTAAAATCACTGTAATATTAAGAACATATTAATGCGATTTTACAATTAAATCTCATTGCTTTCATAAAGTCTCGCACCAAATCTAAGGAAGTGAAAACAGAAGGACTTTTTATTTATCAGTTAAATATATTTTGTAAATTATTTTACTTTCCTAATTTCCTTCAGGGTGACAGAATTGTTGCACTTGGCATGGGAAAAAACATGAATTTGTTTTAATATATTAAGAGTTGAGATTATAAAAATATTTTTAACTTCTAGTTGGACAGCAAACAAAAAACTTGATGCATCATGGAAAGACAGCTACAGAAGGATATTTTTATCACTAAAAAGAGTGAGTGCAGAATTCATTATCATTTATAACAACTTAAAACTCAAGTACTTCCTCTATCTCAAATATGCCGAGAATCATGGTGCAGCACGTGCTTAGATGCATTTTTGAAAAAGCACATCTGGATACTAAAATTATGGGACATTTTCACTGCAGTTTCCTTTTCTTTTCTAATACCGATTTGCACACACAAAAAAGTGTTCTTGAAAATATGGCCCCAATTTTAATTTTTATTTTGAATTATAAACAAAAATGTCTAGGCTCAATGGGACTCTTATAGACAGAAAATAATCATTCCTATCTAAGGGGATCTCTTGGCACTGGTTTCTTTCTCTCTTTTTTTTTTCTGCTACTAATTGCACCACATAAACAAAGTCTAGAAATAAGTACCAAAGATAAGGGAATCTTCAAGTGAATGAACTGTCCAATCAATGCATTCCCCAGTCGTATGATGGAAAATAAAACACCTAAGTATTTACTTAGGTGCAATTGACTTATGATGGAAAGTAAAATACCCAAGAGTTAGGATAGGAGTCAAAGTAACTCTAATTTGGGATTCAGTGGCCGTGATTTTTATTCCAGACCCTGCTATTAACCAGCTGAGTGAGTTGAGAAGGGAGATGGGGAGTTACTTCAGAGAGATGCATGGCAGGTGATGCACTGATCTCTTTGGGCCTCAGTTTCATCCAGAAGAGCAAGCAATTGACTGCATGGTCTCTGCAAGAACCCTTCAGTTCTCACACTCAATGATTCCAGGATTTCTGTGTCCTCTGATGAATGCCTGTCTTCTGCCACACATCCTTTTATCCAGACATAAGTCTATAAAGGCAACTGGAGGTATACTAGAAACACATGAACAGCTTCCACTCTGGTCTATTATATCCATTCTGATAGCAAATTGAGACCTTATTGCAGGTGGTTTCTGGGCTGGCATGACTTTTTGAGCCTCAAAACCCTAAATCCTTTATCTCCATGTAAAGAGCTGGTAAGGCCTGAATAAAAGGCCCCTACTGCTGAAACAGGTCGTCTGCCAGGCAGAGAAGCAGTGACCCGATAGTGTTGGGATTGAGCCACTAAAGACCCTTCAAACACCTGTGTTAGAGCATGCCCTGGAGCCTGGACTCATTTGGTCAAGTCTCTGTCACCATTCTTGGATGCTAGATGTGCAAATGCTTTAATTAGATTGTCAAATCAACTTTTACCTGCCACAGTGAAAGAAACACTGGTTAAAATTTTATTTGGAAAATAACAATCAGTGTTTTATAACCTAAGGGCTTAATTAGAAGTTGAGGGAATTGCTGTTCCTTCCACACACTCCATTGGCAGACAGTTGCAAGCGTGCTGAGTACCAACTGTGTTGAATTTCAATGTGTACTGTTTCTTGAAGCAATATCCTGCCTGGCTGGCCTATATGATAACAAAATCTCAAATCTTGTTATTTAGAAGAACAAGGAACAGATTTCTGGGACATTCCCACTCTTCTAAAAGCTGCAGAGACCAGTTGGAAAATTCTAAAACAGCAGCCAAGGGCAGAGAAGAGTTTAATCTCCACCCTGCCTTGGGCTTTTCTCTTCCCTGCATAAGTGGTACTCAGAGGCCCACCTAGAAAAAAGCAACGTGGAACAAAGATAATGAGAGCTAGACAGAGGGCAAAGAAGGCTTATACTACCCATGGGTGGTTTTCCGTATTAAAATGCTGCTTGCCTTTATAAAAAGCGATGAGTTCTTTAATTTCTCACATAATTAATTCCTGCCAGCTGGTATGCAAAACAAAGACAAGATGGGGAACAGTATTATCATGATAGATAACTTGATATTAACACATTTCCCTTAACACAGTCCAATTTACACAGTTTTCAAGTTAGGCAAATGATGTAGAACCAAGAGGCTCCTGAATATTAATTTGGCAACTCTGCTCTGAAACTTACCACAGATGGTTACCTCTTTGGAGGGTGAAGTTTTTATAGGAGTGAAATTTGGCATTTGCTTCAGCACTTTCTTGGTTTCGTATAGCACGGCTAAGACATAATTAGCATGAAGTATCTGTGAGAGGGAAGCAGTGGGGAGACAGACAATGAAACTTGGAAGGAAGATATGGCACAGACCACTTGAAGGGTGGAGCAAAATGCGAGCACCCATATCAAGGAAGCTGCACTTCAGATTCATTTTGACATTACTCTCAAGTTGACTAGCACAAGACCTGGCACAGGTCTGGCACATGCTCACTGGAGGTCTGTAAACTGAAATAAATGATTTCTAGGATTTTTCTACTCTCATGTTTTGTGGGCAACTGGGGATGGGATTGGGCCATATTTAATGGTGCTGGGGATCAAATCAGTGGCAACCACAGTACCTTCCCCACTGTGGTCTCTCTCTGACCTTCTCTCTTGTTGTTAATGGACACCAGCCTTCCTCCCATTCTTGACCCGCAGAATTCCAAGAGAAGCTACAGGGCAAATGGAGTCTATTACATCCATTCTGAGAGCAAATCTAGACCTTGCTCCAGGGGGTTCCTGGGTTGGCCTGGATTTCTGAGCTTCTGCCCTCTAAAAATATACCCCCCAAAATAGCTAGAAGAGAAGGCGGGAGAGAATGCTAAGTGGGGCAGCTTTGCTCTTGCTTGGACAGGCCTTACACCTGGGAGGGAAACCAGGTGTTGGATTCAGAGATCTCGCAGGGCCCCAGATGAGCCCCACAGTACTCTGGAGTGTGGATCGCAGGTGTGACTTGATGCTTGGTACCCAGCTGGGTGAATGCACAGAGCACGGAGCACATTTATACAATAGAAGTGTGAAACATACTGCGAAGCTAATGGATCACTCTATTGAGCTCCCCTAGCGAGGGGCTCAATAACATCATTATCCAGGATAGATTTATTTCACTTTCTCCCCAAGCTTTTTGTTTGCAATGTTGTCCTGTGTTTTATATATTGATGTATGCATTGATTTATGCACTGACTTTGTTTGAGGGGCCACACTTAGTAGTGCTCAGAGTTTACTCCCAGCTTTATGGTCAGCGTTGTACCCAGACGTGCTCAGGGAACCAGGCGGTGCCAGGAATCAAACACAGATCTCAATCATACCAAGCCTGTGCTCGGCCCACTAAGCTTCTACAGCTCACGTTTTGCTTGTTTTAAATACAAAGAGTGCTGTTCTCCCTTTTTCCCCTGTAAAAGAGTTCAGATACTTAACATGTATGTAACACAGTCAGAACAAATTTATTTATTTTTGCTTTTGGGGGTCACACCCAGCGATACACAGGGGTTACTCCTGACTCATGTACTCAGGAATTACTCCTGGCGGTGCTCGAGGGACCACATGGGATGCTGGGAATTGAACCCCAGTCGGCCGCGTGCAAGGCAAACGCCCTACCTGCTGTGCTATTGCTCCAGTCCCTCAGCCAGAACAAATTTAACAGATGCCAACATCACTTTCTTTTGTGTGGAGGGAGGAGCTGAGGAAGCCAAGGAACCCCTCCCAGGGCTTCTCGGCCCAGGCCTGAGGATGCGGCACTGCTCAGGCCCTGCAGAGTCCAGAATTCAGAATTCGGACTGTTTGTACCTGTGCTGTGTAAACTGTTACCCACCAGTCACATGGGGTTGTTGACCCCTTGAAATGGGGTAAATTCAAGACATTGCTCTAAGTGTACATATTGGACTACAAAGTCTTTGAAGAAAAAGAAAACTATGTTATTTTAAGTCTAAACTATTTTAAGAAAACGATGTTATTTTAAGTATAAACTATTTTAAGATGATTGCATATTTAAGTCATAAACAGTTATGTGTTGGATTTTAAATCTAAGTTCTTAAAATTAATTTCTTTGCATTCCTTTAATTACACTTGTTCTCTGTTTCTTTTTAATGTTTTCAGTGTGACTGTGGGACAATTTCCAATGATATATGCAGCTCACATCATGTCTCTATGAACATCAGTACTTTAGATGGTGAAACACTAAGAGGGATGCTGTACATATTATTCAAATGCTGGGCATGGAATTTGGGACAGGTAACATACTTTGGATCCATCCTGCCTCAAAGTATCCTGAAATTTCTTTTTTCATAGCAATTTGTACAATAAGTTTATTTTCTATCCCAGACTCCCAAAGCACTATTTAACTTTGGAGAAATTTCATGATTTACTATATATTTTTAATGACAAGAAGTAGGAATTGAAGTAAGGATTAGAAAGATAAGGGTACCTGGATGTTGCTTCGTGGAGAAGAATCCATATTTTCCTATTTATCCCAAACTGAAAAACTGTTCAGCATTTTCTCCACAAAAAGATTTTATCTTGTTTATCTCTCAGAGAGCCCGGAAAACTACCGAGAGTATTTCACCCACATGGTAAAGCCTGGCAAGCTACCCGTGACGTATTCAATAGGTCAAACACAGTAACAACAAGTCTCACAATGGAGACTTTACTGGGCCCGCTCAAGCAAATCGATGAACAACGGGAGGACAGTGTTACAGTGCTATCTTGGGGGTAGGGTGACACCCTGCAGTGCTCAGGGACCACTCCTGAGCATGTGAGCATGTCACAGATTAAAGGGATAGAAGCAGGTCAGTCACATGCAAGGCTTATACTGTCTAGCCCCAGTCACAAAAGCATCTTAAATCCATTCAATCCACAATTCAAATCTTGAGTATAAACTTTTTGGGGGACACATATTTTGTTTTGTTTCTGGGACATAATTGGCAATGCTCAGAGATCTGATATTTCTCAGGGGACCATATGCAATACTAGGGATTGAACCTGGGTTGACCAGGTGTAAGGGAAACTCCCTTCCCTCTGTACTATCACTCTGGCTTTCCTTTGGCCAAAATTTAAAGGAATAGGCAACACATTTTATATGACTTTTCTTCAATTTCCAATAAATGTATTGATTTCCAATTCTTGTGTCAATATTACCTTTCATAATTTTCCTATTCCATTTGTGGTACTAATGACAGTCATTATAAGGCATGCTTGTTTTTTTATTTTTTAATTAAATTAATAAGTACTCATTCATTCATTCATTCATCATCCTGTTATTCGTCGATAGCCTCGAGCAGGCCCCAGTAACGTCTCTTTCATCCTAGCCCTGAGATTATATTCAAGGCTCTTTAGGAATATGAGATCCATCATTGTTACTGGTATTTGGCATATTTGGTACGCCACGGGGAGTTTGCCAGACTCTGCCGTGTGGGCAGGCTACATTCGATAGCCTGCAAGTTTGTCCAAAGTAGGAATGAGATAATAAGATGTCATAAAAAGATGTCCTGATAAGATGTCGCGCGGCCGCAAATGCGGCCACGCGGTTCCGGGAGCTGGATTTTATAGTCTCTGATAATAAGTACTCATTGAAAATATATTGCAACAGCAGAAAATTCCCATTATTTAAAGAGGTTTTCTGGGTCCTTTTTCAATTGTCTAAAATTCCTTTGGTAATATTAACACTTGCTTATAATGCTATATTTCAATAGTTTATAATTGTGTTTACAATTATAACATTAAATACTCAAAAGAATTAACTCAGATGTTGGCCTCTTCATTTATAAATATACTCATATTAAATAACAATTTAGCTAGAATACATTATTTTAAATACATTGAAGGAGGAAAATACTAATTTTAAAGGCTGGTTCTTTTAAAGCAACCAGATTTTTTTTTTAAAAAATGGGAATACAACTGATTTTCTTATTTGAAATAAAACTTTAAATAGTCAAAGGGGAATATAATGGTGAAAAATATTTTTCCTTCTTCCTCAGACCTTACTCTTCCAATCTCTGTCCCCAGAAACATCTTTTTTTTTTTTGCTTTTTGGGTCACACCCAGTGATGCACAGGGGTTACTCCTGGCTCTGCACTCAGGAGTTACTCCTGGCGGTGCTCAGGGGACCATATTGGATGCTGGGAATCGAACCCGGGTCGACCACGTGCAAGGCAAATGCCCTACCCGCTGTGCTATCACTCCAGCCCCCCCAGAACATCATTAAGGGTGTCTGAGAGCTGGAAAAATAGTAGAGGAACTTAAGGCACTTGCCTGGCATGTGGCTGCAAGCACGTGCTGCAATGGTTTGATGTGCAGCACCTCCTATGGTCCCCTGAACCCCACCAGAAATGATCCCTGAGCATAGAGCCAGGGGCAGGTAGCAGATGTGGCACTGCCAGATGTGGCCCAACCCTGCCTCCAAATGTGTTTGAGCGTCTTTTCAAACACTCTTCTGTGTTTGCAAGCATGTAAAAGTGAATATAGGGGCTAGAGAGACAGTACAGGGGTTAAGGCCTAGGCCTCAAATGCTGCAGACTCCTGTTAGATCCCCGGCACCACAGGGTCCCCTAAACACTATGGGCGCAGCCCCTTGGCACAGATGGGTGTACACACACCTCCTCGAATCCCAACAAAACTGCAGTGTCTGAGCAGCAACGGGCCTCAGTCCAGGTCACTTGAGAAATACTAGGAAGAGGCCCCGGGTCTCCTGAGCACCAAAGTCACGGAAGCTAAGATAAGCACTACTGAATACGCAAATTTATGTATATAATCCCTTCAACAAAATGTGGGCTATCCGTGCAGAGAAATATTATTCAATCAAACACAGAAGTGAGGTAATGATGAAGGCCACAGCCAGAACGAACCTTGTTACAGTAAGCCAGGAGGAAGAAGCCCACACAAAAGGACACATATTATGTGATTCCACTGATATGAAAATTACCGATTAAGGAGCTCTTTAGAGATAAAAGAGTAAATTAGTAGTTTCCAGTGGCTAGAGGGAAGGAAGAACAGGGAATGACTGTTTAATGGGCTCAGGCTTTTGTTTCGGAGGTGATGAAAATGTTCAGAATTAGTGGTGACAGTTGCACAACATTATATACTAAAAACCCATGAATCATACACTTTTAAACGGTTAAAATGTTCAGTGTCACGTGACATAAATTTTATCTCAATTTTCAAAAATCAAAGCCAATGCAATGCTTAATTTTTCTTTTCTCTCTTTGTAAACGGAAGCACAATGTTCACTATATTGAACCTTTTCTTCTGGCCTTAATAACATATGTTCTTTCTTTATACTCAGCCAACATCTTGCATCATTTTTTCTTGAGTAGTCCTCTTTTATTTTTAATTTTTTAAATTAGATTAGTTACAGGCATTCGGTTTCCAACACCAATCCTCTCACCATTACACCTGTACTCCACTATAATCTCTAATTTGTCTCACCACCCCTTAAGCCTGCCCCTTCAATAATTTATTTTATATTGCTGATTATCAATGATTTGCTAAGAGAATGAAAAAAATGTTTCCTTATAAGAAAGCTATTGTTACAGGTTGTTAGAACAAGAAAGGTGTTGTTACAGGTTAAGCCTTCTATGTTTATGTCTTGTTAATTGAGATTGGTTGTCTTCTACATTACTTCACATCCAATCTGGTGTGCTGCTACTGGTTAATTGGTGTTGTAGAGTTTGAGATGTTCCTGCATCATTTTGATATGACTTTTAGGGCTTCTGTGTATCCTTATCTTCTTGAATAGAGTAAGCATACGTATTTCAACCTTTGAATTTGATAATGCCATTTATCTAATGGGGGGACCTTATTATGCCACGGGCCATTTGGATATTTATAGCCTTGTTGGAGGGCCAGACAATACCAGCAGACAGGCCACTGGCAGCCTGTGCATCTGTGACTATGCCATCAGGGACCAGGCTTAGGATTTACAGGATTTCTCTAGCCTTCTATGGCCCACACCGGGCATTTCCCACCCCTGATCTGAACACTGTATAGGCCTAGATTCATTGCTGCTCGCCTTGGTTTTCTTTTCTTGTTTGGGGGGGCCTCCAGGAGGATCACCGGGGCTACCACCAGGCAGTGGGAGGAAGGCCAGGTGTTGGCAGTGATGAAACTTGGGACCTTAGCATGTTAGTCATGCACCCCAATCTTTTGATCTATCTCATGTCAGGCACTTGAAAGGAAGTTCAACACCGTTAGTCATTAGGCAAATGCAAATCAAAATCACAATAAGATAGCATTTCATATGAACAAGAATGGCTATGTAAAAATTAATGTTAAAGCCAAACAAAATAACGTGCTTTAGCCAAAAAGAAAAACTGGAACTCTCACGCACTGCTCATATGAATGTAAAATGATGCAGTCACTGTGGAAAACAGTTTAGCAGTTCCTCAAAATGTTGAGAAAAGTTTTACCATACAATCCAGAAATTCCACTACCACATGTGCTCAAGAGAACTGAAAAGGTGTCCACACACAAAATATGTCCAATTACTAAGAGGTAGGAAAACTCAAAGTGTGGGGGGTGCAGAGATACAGGGTAATGCTTTTACTTTGCATGAGGCCAACCCTGGTGCAACCTTCAACTCCCCATATAGTTCCCCAAACACTGCCAGGAGTGATCCCTGAGCACGGGGCCAGGAGTAAGCCCTGAGCACTGCAGGTGTGGGTCCCCCCCAACGTTTTAAATTAGGGGTAGAAATGAAAGCTGAAAGTGCTGGAGCACATGCCTGACATGAGCAGCCCCAGGGTTCATCCCTGGTATCACATGACCACCTGAGCATTGCTGGGTGTGACTCTGTGCTGACCAGCATTACAGAAGAGGCCTTATCCTCTTACCCCCTCTCCACAACCTTACCCCTTTCCCCGCCCCCCTGAAAAAAAAAGAAGAAAAATCCAAACAATAGGACCAGAGAAAGAGTACAGGGGTTATAGCGCTTGCCTTGCCTTGCATGCAGCTGACCCTAATTTAATTCCCAAGACCACTTATGATCCCCTGAGTATCACCAAAAGTGATCCCTGAGCACAGAGCCAGGAGCAAGCTCTGAGCAGCACGTCATGTGGCCCAAAAAATATAGAAAAAGAAAGAAAAATTCAAATAAATAACCATTAGGTCCTAAACAATATGTGGTATATTCATATGATATTAGCTATAAAAATAAATGAATACTGAAACATGCTAGGTTAAGTGCAAGAAATCAGACCCCAAGGAACACATATTGTAGGTGCCCACTTATATAAACTGTCCTTAATAGACAAATCCACAGAAACAAAAAGAAGAATAGAGGTTTCAAGGGGTGGGATAGAAGGGGCCTATGAGTCTGACACGTCTTTTTGGTGTAAATAACAATATACCAAAAATAGAACTGTGCATGTTACACAAACTTGTGCATGTAGCACAGCGGTAGGGCGTTCGCCTTACAAGCGGCCAACATGGCCGACCCGAGTTCGATTCCTCCGCCCCTCTCGGAGAGCCCGGCAAGCTACCGAGAGTATTCGATATGCCAGACACAGTAACAACAAAATCTCCAATGGAGACGTTACTGGGCCCGCTCGAGCAAATCGACGATCAACGGGAGGGCCTTTACCTTTACCTTTACTAAAGATGCTTAGACATTTTTAAATCGTGAATTTTATGATATGTGAACTGTCTTTCAGGACATATATTCCTATCTGCCTGCAGATAAGAGCACTGTTTTTGTTTGGTTTTGGTTTTGGTTTTGGATGCACCTGAGGTTAAGCAAAGTGGAAGTTACCTGCCATTTTATGTGACTTTTTCCCCAAGGGAAAGTATTTCTGTTATAATGTTTTCATCCAATAGTAGTCATCGAGCATGTGTTTTATCCAAAATCAGAGTGGTGATTGCTTTAACTTGCCTGTTGCTGCTTGAAGGCATCAAGAAGTAAATCAAGATCATTAAAAGTAAGAGGAAATTGGAGCCGAGGACCAGTATAGGACAGCGGGACTTCGATCAACTCCACAAATTCCTCTCTATCCCTGTTTTGCTTGAGGGTTCTGTATAGGCGAGTGATCAACACTGGAAAAGAAAAGAGAGAAAAAGTGTTAAAAAATCAATGCTCCTGGGGCCGGAGTGACAGTACAGCAGGTAGGGCATTCGCCTTGCACGTGTTCTGACCCAGGTTCAAGCCCCAGCATCCCATATGGTTCCCCTGCACTACCAGGAATAATTCCTGAGCACAGATCCAGGAGTAACCCCTGAGAATCACTGGGTTTTATCCAAGAAGCAAAAAAAAAAAAAATCAACACTCCTGGGGTTGGAGCAATAGTACAGCAGGGAGGGCATTTGCCTTGCATGCAGCCGACCCGGGTTCAATCTCCAGCATCCCCCCTTGAGTGAATAATCTCTTTTTTCATATTAAGACATTGATCCCACCATGTAACCATATTTAAATGTTCTGCTCTAACTTAATTACCTTTAAGGGTCTAATCTCCAAATACTATCTCACTGGGGAATATCATTTCAACACATGGATTTTGTTCCATTATAAACATATAGCTCATAAAAAGATTATCAGATAATATAATAGAATATATCCAACTCTTGAAAATATTTAACAGAAAAATATTAAAGTAATAGAGTAAAATGAAACCATAAAATATGATGCATCAACACAAATTTTTAAAATGGTAGAGTAATTCTATTCTTTTACTTTCATTAAGTTACCTTAGTATTACTACTTCTTCACAAAGGTGCTGGAAAATTTCAGCCTCCTGTGAGATGATATCCCATTGTTTTTATTTGCATTTCCCTTATAACAAATAAAGTTGAATACCTTTGAAAAAAATCTCCAGCATCCCATCTGGTCCCCCAAGCACCACCAGGAGTAATTCCTGAGTGCAGAGCCAGGAATAACCCCTGAGAAACTCTGGGTGAGACTCAAAAAGACACATGCACACACACAAAACCCAACACTTCCATATTTCAATACAATCTAGACCTTCTGGAATACCTAGCTATCATGAAGAACAGCGCATCCCACTGATAACCATGCAGAATGATTTGCTGGAAACTCAGCAGTTTGAGACTCCGACTATACAACAAAACATTCCATCTCTGGCCCCAGTTGTGTGTGAGCACCATGACTGAAGTGTACAGCCCCTGGCCAGCACTGCAACCAGAATGTGTGTGAACACCCAAAGAAAGGGTGTGACGTGCCCCCTCACCCCCTACCCCAGCCAGCACATGGGCAAAGACGGCAACGGAAAAAGTTATCCCTGGGAACACCACAGTCAAGTGTGTGAGTACCACAACCAAGCATGGGTGCAAGCCCAGCCCCTCCACCATGGGAACAACAACAAAGAAGAGAGGTTTATTACATGCGGCTGAGCTACTGTGGTTGATTAATACATTGTATTATTGTGGTAACAGTTAACTGATACAGATTCTCTTCAGCTCATTACCACTGAATTGCCACTAAGGCCATTAATCAGAAGTTCTCCACATAATATTGTAAACCAGATATAAGTCCATGGAATAAATAAATTAAATAAAAATAAAAGAATTTTTCTCTGGGCAGTTTCTATCATTTTGAATACTTAAAGTAGGCGTGATGGGAAGAAATGATGCCAGCCGTTAAAGCTACAACACTGCTTCTCGTGATTCAGTTACGCTAGAGAGCACACTTAAGAGCTGAGCTTGAAAAAAAAAACACGTAAAGTAAGGCCTAATACTTGGCAACTTAAATGCTTTCAAAATTATTGTGTATCCTAATATTTTGCATTGGTGGTTGATATTATTTCATAAGTTCACTCTAGGAGGAATGATGACTCTCTTCAACGTGTGCCGGTGGAGGTTTTCTCATTTGGATTTGGTCGGAGATCTGAGAACAGCTGATTTCATTTGGTTTGAAAACTACAAACGCAAAACATGCTGCTAAATTTGATCCTGGATTCATTGTGTAGGTAGTAAAGCCGAAATAGCTGTGGTAATAATCACACGACTTGCACCTATTCAGCCGCCATTCTTAGAGCTCCATTTTGCACCAAAGACAAACTTCCCTCCACGTGACCACACACATATCAGGTTCCTCCTGGGAAAACAACAACAACAACAACACATACGCACACACATAAACATACGCCAGTTTCACTCTATCGTCTTGTAACTGACATACAGAGTAATAAGTCCCAAGTCTTATGAATCATAAACAAGTTATTTCACTTGCCTAGTCATTGCCTTCTTCACCTATGCTCTGTTTGATTATCCTTTTCTCATCAGTCAACTGACACAGGAAGTCATTATTTCTGCTTATTAAAACTCAGTCTGTTTTCAGAGCAAAATTTAAATACTGGATTTTTTTTTTGCATTTTTTTAAAAAAAAAGCTCAGTTTCTGTCATACATTTTTGAACTTTTTTTCACTAAGTATCTTTTAAAAAATATTTTCAATTTTGTTAAAGCACCGTGGTTCTTTGTTTTTGAGCCACACCCAGCAGTGCTCAGGGCTTATTCCCAGCTCTGTACTCAGAGATCACTCCTGGCAGGCTGGCTAGAAGACTACATGGAGCATTGCTGGGGATTGAACCTGGGTGACCCAGCCACATGCAAGGCAGGCACCCTACCCATTGGACTATCGCTCTGGCCCCCAAAGTACCGTGGTTTACAGTTATTCATAGTTGAGTTTTAGACACACAGTGTTCTAGCACTGATCCCATCACCAGCCTTAACTTCCCTCTACCAGTTTTCCTCATTCCCCTACCCTACCCTCAGCCTGCATTTTAGCCAAAACTATTCACTATGAAATATCAGTAAACATAATCACAACCCTTCCACAGGTTTTAGTTGGACTAAAAAAATAAATAACATATTTTCCTCCAGTAGATAATGGGGGTCAGGTCATGCGAAGAAATAATCAAAAGCTTTAACATTCCAAGTGTAAGTACTCTCCTTGTGAGCTACAGCTATTATAACTACTAATAATAGTTTAATGACTGTCTACAATATATGAAGATTCATGCAACATATAATTAGAATTAATCCTTACCTATTTGGTTTACAATTGTGTCGACATGAATCTAACTTAATTAAGTATAACAAAATCTTGAATTATAAGCATATGACATCTTTACAAATTGTCCAAACAAAATAACTCAAAAATTCCCCCTACACACTATTTTTTTCTTTTACCCATTACAGACTCAAAATCTGGACAGCGAAAAATTTGAAGCCCATAATTAAAAAAAAAAACACAATTTCTGCCTCTTCCACCCACATATCATTTTAAAAACAAGCTCCAGATAACTGCTGGAAAAAAGAAAAGCACCAGTTGAAATACATTTATAGTTATTTAATTTATTGATCATGAAGCTATATTTTGTTTGTTTGTGTTTGGGTCACACTCAGTGATGCTCAGAACTTACTCCTGTCTTTGCAATCAGTGATCACTCTTGGCAGGGTCTATATGGTGCCAGGGATTGAACCCAGGTTGGCCGCATGTAAGGCAAGCTCTCGACCCATTGTACTATCTCTTCGTTCCTCAATTACAAATCTAAACTGAAACTGAAACCATAAGTGTCCATATAACATACTTAATAGCTGTCAGAATGACATTTCATGAAATTCAATACCTGTTCCTGATTTTTAAAATAATACCAGAAAACTAGGAATGGAAGGATACATCCTTTAAATATAGTTTTAAACATTTAAATCAACAATAATACTTTTCCATTATATTATTAGCAGAACAAGGATACCTATCTTAACTGCTTCTTTTCCTTTTTCCTTTTTAGGTACTAGATATTGAACCCAGGACTAGGCGTATGCTCTATCACCCTCTCCACCCTTGTCATTGTTTTATCTTAACATTACCCTGCTATCACCAGCCAATGTATAAACATGGAGTTGAAAAAAGATATCAAACTAAGTAATTTATGGCCACTGTGATTAAATATACACAACCAAGAAAATCAATTGAAAAACTCCCAGAGTTGTTAGGAAAATGAAAATAATCACACCCAATGAGATGGGTTAACCTTTAAGATTTATCACCAAGGCTTCACTATTCTCATTCACCCAAAAAAAAGGCAATACTAGCATTAATCTCACTGATTTATCACAAAGACTAAATGAAATGCTATACATTAAAAGCATTGAATGACATGGCACATGACATTCAATAAATATATCCAAAACATTTTTATTCATGTTTTTATTCAGTAGTAGCCTAAATATAGATAATAAATAAATGTAAAACAAAAGCTTTGCTAAATGTAGTCACATAATCATTGTAGGGAAATAAAGTGAGGAAAAGATCCTGTTTAGTGGATAAATAAACAATAGCTGATCTGATGTGACATCTTTCCCTGATCTGGGATACAAAAAGAAAAGTGAAAATACTTCCCCACTCCCATTATTCACCAGTCTCTGTTTAGACCTACACCCATGGATTGCAGCTTTGGCTCCCTGCCTGTGGGAGGAGGCTGATGTGAACAGGCAGACTGGGGAACATATGTTAGGAGTCTCTCCATCAAGTTCTCTGAACTGGTTTGAATAACTAAAATTACAGGGGATGAAGATAAACTGCTTCCGGGTCACCTTTCTTGAAAACACCTAGAAGGTTTCAATATACTCTGTGCCTCTGGGGTAAAATCATTCATCTGACTCTGATTTCTAGAAACATCAAATGACCCTTTCTACCCTAAAACCTATCCTGTTTAGGGTTCATAGCACTCTGTTAAACAGGTCTAAGGGGAGTTGCCTGCAAACTCCCATCGAGATGGCCATCAGAAAGCAACAGCGAGAGTACAGCGGGCAGGGTTCTCGCCTTGCATGCTGCCTACCCGGATTCAATCCCCCTTCTGTCTCCAGCACCACATACGGGCCCCTGAGCCCCACCAAGAGTGATCCCTGACTTGACCACCCCTGGGTGTGCCATCTCCCCCTACAAAAAAAAGAAAGCAATCCCCTGTAATGAAACACCGTGAATACTATGTAACAGTACTTATAGTAGGGCAGGAGAGAAAGTACAGATCTTATGGTGCTTGCTTCACATGTGGTCAACTCTGGGTTCGATTCCCTC